TATGTTTGATTTCTTGACTGCTGCTTTTATGAGCATTGATTGTAGATTCAAGTAAAATAAAATCTTTGACAGCTTCAAAAAAAAAAGATCTTACATCCTCTCAAAATGTTTGTGAGCTTCTGTTTCTGCAGAGTACAGGAGAATAATTAGGAACGTATACATGCTGCCAAGGGATTATCATTGTTCACGGATCAGTAATACTCTGTGACGCTTTGAATGATTCAGTAATGTGACATTGTTGTTTCTGTTTCCTTGCCTAAAGATTGAAACGGAAGAATACGAGGAAGCCTTGTCTCTGGCTCAGACCTATGGACTGGATACTGATCTAGTATATCAGAGGCAGTGGAGAAAATCAGCAGTCAACATTGCTTCAATTCAGGATTACTTGGTATGTTAAAATATTTTGGTAACATGGTGAAATTCAAATTTGTAGTGTATCCTTTTATTGTAGCCTTTGGTTTTGGGGGTACTTTGTATTGTTATAGCTAAAGAAATGGGTGTACTGAATTAGGAGACTTTTTTTTATCAGAGGTCTGAATCTGCAGGATAATGCACTGGACAGCAAAGTCAGTTTGAACCTCAAGGTTGTCAGTTCAAACTCACCAGCCACTCCTCAGGAACCCTATACAGGGTCGCTATGAATCGGAATCGACTTGACAGATCTTGTCAACAGTAACAACATTGCCTCTGCACCTGGGCTTTGATGCTGAAGACATATGAACAGCTGTTGTTATAAGTACCTTAGAGTTGGCTCTGACTCAATAGTGACCCTGTGTACAACAGATTGAAACACTGCCTGGTTCTATGCCATCCACACAGTTGTTGTTAGGTCTGAGCCCATTATTTCAGCCACTGTTTCAGTCTGTCTTACTGTGTGTCTTCCTCATTTTCTCTGACCCTGCGCTTTACCAAGCATGTTGTCCTTCTCTAGAGACTGATCCCTCCTGATAAGATGTCTAAAGTACATGAGATGAAGTTTCACAATCCTGGCTTATAAGGGGCATTCTGATTGTACTTCTTCCAAGACAGATTAGTTTGTTCTGACAGTCCATGATACTTCACAGTATTCTTCCTAAAGACCATAATTCAAATGCTTCAATATTCCTATCTCTCTTCTCTGGTCTTCTCTATTCACTGTCTAGCTTTCATATGCATCACAAGCAACTGCAAAGACCATGTTTTGAAGAAACAGGCACACCTTAGTAGTCAAGTAGATTTTTGTTCTTTAACACTTTATTGTGGTCTTCTGTAGCAGATTTGCCCAGTGCAATATATCTTTTGATTTCTTGACTATTTCTTCTATGATCATTGATTGTGGATCCAAGTAACATGAAATCCCATGATAGTCAGGATTGAGAGGCAGAAAAACTCCAGGGATTGGCAAGCAGAAAAGTCCCTATTAATCTCAAAGCTAGCAGATATAGAGCCATGGGCAGGACTATCAGGGATAGAAATCCAACCTGAATGCTGGCTGGCTGACTATTAGAAATTTCTCACATAGGTGTCTGAAAGATTCACAGGGAATCTGCCTACAGGAATGCCAGAAAAACTTGATGGAGACATTTTCTACAGAGATAGGAAGTGGGGAAGTGAACATCACTGGATGACCCCATATATGCTGATGGCTATAATGGGATGAAAATAAAGCACATACGCACTAGAAATGGGATCCTTTCCTTTTTCAGTGAATTGACAGCATCCTTTTTTGAGTAGCTTAATTTTGTGTTAACTTGCAAAGGATAAATGCTGATGCAAAGCAGAATTGCTGTTGTTATTAAACTCCATCAAGATTCTGACTCATACTGGCCTTGTATAGGGTTTCTGAGGAATGGCTTATGGGGTTGAATCTCTGACCTTGTGGATAGCAGTCTAGTGCTTATCCTTCAGCGCCAAGCCAGGACTCCAAATCAGGGTTGTTGTTGTTGTTGTTAAGTGCTTTTGAAGGGTAATTTAGAGTTGAGAGGCAATAAATACATAATTGGCATATCAACTTTATCTTTCCTTCTTAAAGCCCACAATTGTGCCCCTCTTTCTTAAAATGAATGTTGACATTATGTGTAGTCTCTAGGTTTTGATCCTTGGCACCTTTGTGAGGAAGTAGTTGAATCCATGGAGTACTTTAAAAAGTATGTCAGATCTTCTATTTTGACATTTAGAAAGGAAAATGCCTTATGCATTTAAGAAGATTCTAAGAAATATTGTGAAAACTTTACGATAATTATTTAAAATACACTTTTATGAGATCCAAAAATAAATGCATACACTGGAAAATTTTACCTGGAAAATATGAAACAAAGGTAAATTGTTTCTTTAGCTAAGATATCAGAGATAAGAAAGCGTGAGAGAGTGGGAAGAAGGGAGTTGCTTGAATTTCCTTAGGAAATCAGAATACAAGTCCTGTATTTTATTTCTTTCTTGTGATTTAGGACAGTGACCTGTGAGTTCACACATATTTTCTGGGTTTGGTTCTTTAGGAGCTCATAGGAGAGGCAGAGCAAATAAATTTTGTGGGGAAAGTATTTAATTTAGCTCAATAAGTAGATAGCAAATAGTTAAATGGAGCCCTGGTGGCATGGTGGGTTACGTAGTGGGCTGCTCATTGCAAGATAAGCAGTTCAAATGCATCAGTGCTCCTTGAGAGAAAGATAAGCCTTTCTGCCCTAAAGATTTTCAGCCGTAAAACC